TGAGCACTAAAGTTATATTTGCATATGCCTAAAAATCTTATGAGCCTTGAATCTTTCTCTAATCTCAGCCCAGCTATAGACAATGCCATCTTTGATGCAGGAGCAGAGATAGGGGGACTTTTGGGAGGTCCACCAGCAGAATGCACCAGGTGACTCTAAATCAAGTAAGAAGGATGGGTTGCCCAGTTGCCCAGTAGCAGCAGTAGATGTGGGTGGGGAGATACATTTACTGAAATATTTAGTAGAGTCCCACACAGTTAAGTTATGCTGCATCAAGAGACTCATAGATTATGGCCTAGACTGTGAAGGGGGCCAAGGGAGGGCCCAAGGAGTAACAGGAGAGAAACAGTAGGCTTTCAGGTCGACCAACAGGGCAAACAAAGAAGTCAGTGGGGCAATCTGGGCTGCCGCATAATATTTATGGACATTGGGGACTCCAAGACCCCTTTGGCTTTTGTATATGAACATAGTATGTTTGGCAATGCTTGGTCTTTGGATGCATTTCATGATATGAATTTGAAACGATCTATGGGGATATGTCGGGACTGGGATGGGAAGGGTGTGAAACAGATAAAGGAGCTTTGTTAAGAATATAATCTTTATAGAACTGATTTTCCCGATCCAAGAGATGTTATATTTAGGACAAGAGGATAACAAATGTTTAAGACTTCAAACGGACGAGACATAATTTGCTGAGTATAGAATTGAAAGGTCATGGGTCAGGTGTATCCCCAAGTATTCTAAGTGGAAATCAGACACTTGAAGTTAATAGAGGGGTCTATTCACAAAGCTGCCGAAGGATCTGGCCGTAGCTTCGGCCGATCCTTCGGCTAGCTTCGGCACCAGGACCCCTTCGGTTCAGGAGAACCGAGGGGGTGCTGTACGGTGTAACAACCAGACCCCACAGGTCTTATTTTAGGTGGAGGATCACAGCTGCAGAAGTATGAGGAGGGGGTGCAATCCTACACCACAGTGAATTTACAGTCTTATGGTAATGAGTTAGGCAACAATTACTTAGCATGAAAAATAGATGAGGTTTTATTGTAGGGAGCAGTCCTTTTAGATTAGTGGGGTGAAGGATGACAACAATCAATGGGAGCAATCAAGTTATCCCTATGCACAGTTCTATCAATATGCAAGCATTTGGAAATCACAGTCTGTGGTATGCTTACTGCTATTTTAGTTGATAGGAATGATAAGGAGAATGTTGGTGCCCTCCGGTGGATCTTTAGAGTAACTGCAGTCCAGATTGTAATAGTCCTTAAAGCGAGGTTGTAACAGCAGTTGATATATTGAATTCCATGGAATTACTCTTGTTTATGGTCAACCCCATATTTTGGAGAATTTCTGAAGAATGAAGAATAAAACAGCTAGGGAAATAAGGGTTTGCCTTAGAGAAAGAAGCGTGTCATTTGCAAATAAGTTAATCTTAAAAGAGTTGGGAACCATAGCTACACCGTAAATAATATCTTACACATAGTTACCCATATTTCTGCATTAGAAGCTTCTGCACCTGGGCATAACTTTTATTAACCCTTGCAGTGTTGTTACCCCCGCACTGCAAGGGTTAACTGCTCATTTTTACCTAAGTACCAAAAAAAATTAAAGTTATACTCACCTGAACCGTGGAACTGGCTTGCTTTACGGCTGGCCTTTTCAGCCGCTCTCCCCCTTCGCTGCAGCAGTCTACGGTTCTGTAACTCATGATGAGTTACAGAACCGCAGACTGCTGCATGATGTTCTATACACAGTGTATAGATATGAGGACGCTGAATAACATTCCAATGTTTCAGCATAACAGGAGAAAGGCTTTAGAGGCTTAGTGGTTCGGGTGAGTATAACTTTTTTATTTTAGCACCTAAACAAAAATGAGCAGTTAACCCTTGCAGTGCCGGGGTAACCTTCCTGCAAAGGTTAATAAAAGTTTTGCCCAAAGTTCTTCTTTAAAGATAATGTTAAAAGCCTACAGTGCCAATCGAATCACACACAAGAATACACATCTTTAGAAGGAAATATCTCTAAAAAATTATCTTCACTCTTTTTCTAACTCCTCAACTTCCCCACCCCTGCCAGCCACCACCTGGCATTTTTTTTTTTTTAAAGGAAATTATCATTTACCCTGTGGTCCCAAGCAAAGCATTTTCTTCTCGACACATTTCTACTGTATGAATTGTTTTTTATCCCTGGGAATTTGAAAGCGCCAGTTTTTGGCACAATGAGTTGTGGCCAACCCCAATGTCCCCTCACTTCTCCTCAATTCTCCATGTGAAGATTGTGTAGGTAGGTGAAGTCTTGAAATAAAAAGTCTTGAAAATCAGCTGTTTGTAAAACAATGATCACTTTAATGGTGTATGGCACAAAACATAGACAATGCATTTCCGGGGATTAGGGTTCCCCCTACTTTTAGACTTTGGTAGACTAGTTTTAGATCTGTTGTTCATAAAGTTCATAGAGTCTGTGTCTTAATATAATATTGTCACAGATTGGCTGCAGAGCTGATCTGTGCTTCACTGCTTTGCATTTGTTTTTTAACTTTTGCTGCTGTAGGTCTGCTGGCACCTGTGGTTCCACAAGCTTGTGCTCTGCTCCTGCTGCACTGATCTAGCAGCTATGGGTGTCGCCTGCCTCACCTGATGGTTAATATACCTCCCTTCCTGCTACTTCCTGTCCAGCCTACCATGTGTCTCCCTATTTAAATCCCTCTCAGACCAGTTTCTGGTTGCTTGAACATTTGTTCCTGAGCCCCTTCCGTGCAATTATTCCTAACCTGACTTCTCGTGGACTGATCTCTTGTGTATTGACTCAGCTAGTTCTCCAGATTACATTTGTCTGCTGCCTGCCCTGACCTTGGCTTGTTATCTGGATCTCCTTTTGCTCCATCCATTCATCCGTGCCTGCACTATGTCTTCGGATACTATCCACAGGAGCAGGGTGAACCTGGGGGTTGTGACCTGGGGTCAGCATGCAGCTAAGTCCAAACTCCCGTGAGGGGGTCCCTGGCAGAACAACGGCTGGCCCTTAGATTTCACACCCTGGGGGATCCCGTTTCACCTGCTCGCCTCTGGGCTCACATCCCTCGTACCGTGACAGATATTAGTGTAACAGGGTGTTTGTTGCCACTGCAGGGACAACAGATAATCCAGAATTCCAATATCATATTAGGACATATATGACACCACAGAGTTGTTGGTGTCAATAGCAATTGTAAATCCTGCAGCCCCTTATGTGTTTCTATATTGCATAGGTTTCATAACAGTAAAGTGCCTTTTCATGCTTCATGTCCTAACTTTTTAGGACACAGTCTTGGCACGAACAAAAGTCCTGTGCCTACTGTGGTCTCATTCATTCCTATGGCTTGTCTGTACACCTCTGGGTAGTTAGGGATGTAGTGAGCATAGACAAGCCATATGAATGAAATAAAATACAGTGCAGTAAACAAAGGACCTGGCCAGAACTTTTTTGGTGCAAAGGTTGTTACCACATAAGACCACACAGTGTAGATCTCTGAAATAAGACTGAAGATACCATAAGTATATTGCTAGGTGAATTATACTGTGTGGGGAGCCTTAAAGCACAATTTCACTTTAAAGCTAAACTGTAGACCCCAAAGTATAAGTATTTTACATAGTTACATAGTTACATAGTATTTGGGGTTGAATAAAGACATACGTCCATCAAGTCCAACCCATATAGGTCCACGCATCATCTCATTCTTAGGGATACTGGTATCCCTGGATATTACGGTCCCTCAAGAAATTGTCCAAACGTTTCTTGAACAAATCTACACTCTTGGCTGAAATCACTGCCAATGGCAGTGAGTTCCAGACCTTAACCGCTCTTACTGTAAAGAACCCTCTTCGCCCATTGTGCTGGAATTTTTTCTCCCCCAACTTTAGGTGGTGGCCTCTAGTCTTTGTAATGGAGTTAATCTCAAAGAATTGTTGCCAATGTTGCTGTCACCATTGAACATCTTGTACATGAAAATCATATCCCCCCTTAATCTCCTTAATTCCAGCGTAAACATGTTTAAGGTCAGAAGCCTTGTCTCATAGCTCTGGTCCTCCATTCCCCTAATTAGTTTTGTTGCCCTCCGCTGGACCCCTACCCCTACTAATAAAATATGTAAGGTTAACACATAAAAAAATAATTTGTATTAACTTAATTCAATGATGCACTGTTACTGCTAGAGAATGCCACCATCATCTGGTCTGAGGAAGTACAAATTGATATCATCATAACTACCTGGGTTTCCGAAAAACTACAGGTGCTGTGAAAGTGACCAGCCCTGCTGTATATCACAGTGGTGCACATCTGAGCAGTCACACATTTCAAAGGCAGGCACCTGAACAGTAGTTATGGCAAAACACTCAGCACTCTACTTATCTCAACAACAGCAATCCATGTGGTAACACATTGCTTTTTACAAAACATGATACATGTGCATTTTACTAAACCAGAAATATTTACTGGAATTCAGCTTTCACAAACCGCTTTAATTCTTGACCTTAATACTAACCAAATGTAACCCTTAAAATAAGCCCTAACACTAAACTAACCCCTTGTTCTGTATATTCACCTTGGCCTGTTTCAGGGACATTTATGGCAAATCCTCATATTTGTGCTGGTAGCTCTGCACCAAATGATATTAAAATACTGAAGTTGTAGTTAATTAACATTTTTTCCACTAATAATGCCTCATCTCTCATTCATTTGTGGTGCTTACTATTATTTTTACTTATGCATCTTCTTTTGATTTGTAAATATTCACCCAACTTTTCTGTGCAGCATAAAACAATCTGGCTAAAGGTTACATTTTCTGCAGAATAAATATGTGCTTGCATTTTAACAATAGCGTAAGTTATATTTGTTTATGACCAGTTGTGCCTTTTTATTACACTGGTGTTATCTGTACTGAAGTATAGTAATACCAAGGGAGGAGAGGATTGGGAGGGCTGGGGGCTGGAAAAACAGTGGGATATTTAAACCATATCAGGCAGCATTCTGCGCACTTGGAGAAAACAGCCTGCACATACAACATCTTGCAGAGACGTCACAATGAGCACAGACGGGCAAGTAAGAAACCATACTTGTTTGCCATTAAATATTATGTGTTTAATTTCATCTGCTCTATTCTAAAGGCCACACTCTCATTTCCACTTAGTCACACAACACAAAACAACAATTAACCTAAATTTGCAATCATGCAGCACAGACTAAACAATCACATTCTGAGTACTGATATTGAAACAGTTCATTTGTATTCTGTAAGAAAGTACTGTAGAAGTAAGTGACAGGTCTGTACTACAAAACACATTCTTACTGGGCAACATGATTTACTATATCCAACACACACACTGAGTAAACTGTACTTAAAAGAGATAGCAGCAGCACCGGAGTATGGAAGAGTCATATGATCATAGTCTATGTGTTGATATAGTTATTTACAGATCTGTTTAACACACACAAATGCTTATTGCTATTAAAGGTAAAATATATGGTGTTAATGACTTTTTGCCTGCTGAAAACAAGCTTACTATCGTTAGGCATATGCTTAAAATAATTAAACTGAAATGTTAAACTAGTAAAGTGGAATTCCATGTTTTAAAATTATTAGATTACCAGACCCACTGTAAAAAAAATATTGCCAATCTCTATTTACCCTCTCCATGCTCCAGTACTGTCCCCAACTTCCTCCTTGGTCCAGTAGCAGCGATCTTCTTCGGACAGAACTACACTTGCGTCAGTCTGCCCATTTTTTGTGTGACCTCCAGCCTATAGTTTACATGCCCTCCTAGGGGACATGTCATCATGCAGGCTGGGCCTACAGTACCCAGTACTGAGCAATGCCACTCAGAACTGGAAGAATTATTGTCCTTGCCAGTATAGGCGGAGGAAGTACTGATGACATATTTGAATCGACTTAAAGACTGCAAGAAAAAGGTATGTATAGCTTTTTTTAATGAAAACACTTGTGGGGTTGTCAAAACGCTGGAGTTTCGCTTTATGCATAAAATGTATTAAAACAAATATTTGCTATAAAACTTTAAAGCAACAGCTGGACCTCTGTGTTGTTTATGCAAAGTCTAAAGCTGCCCATAGACACAAGATGACATTGCCCAATCTGATGACTTTTAGCGCCCAGACAAACAATCAAGTAGGTTCGAAAATTGTTTTAAACTATTTTTCCTACAAAGCAATGTTTGGAGTCTCCTCAATCCTCCTGATCCTTCCCCTCTCTGTTGACATAAGCATACATTTATAGTCGTGCCAAGTGTACATGTTTATGAAGTATTCTGCAGAGGGTATAGCCAGAGTGGGGTAAGTGTGTGCTCAGAAATCCTCATAATATGTTAGTGACCAGTGTACCAGAAATTATTTGCAGTGACTGAGTATCAGAAAAAGATATTGGGGACAGAATGTGCTTCAACCTCGGTTAGTACCCAGGGCCAGATTTCCCACTAGGGAACGTAGGTATCTGCCTACAGGCATCCTCCACAGAGGGGCACCATCAGATTTCTCTGCCTACAGGCTCCTGCGAAGTAAATCCAGCCCTGCACACAGTGCACTGGTAGATGTCCGTGGTCTCTATGCCGACATATGCACAGTGTCTCTGTCACCCGGCCGCTTCTTGCCACCTCTTCCCCGGTGCAGCTAGCAAGAGAGGCCAGGCTGGCAATTGTGTAAGGGGGGCACAGCCGCCTTCTCCTCTGGGCGTCACATCTGGCGCTGCCAAAGGACAGCACAAACAAGGACAAGCCGGGGTAGAGAGCATCGATCAATGGCAGGTCACTGATCACCGCCTGAACGCCGATCAGTACAGGAGGATGACCAGAGACCTCTCTGTGCAACCGCAGATCGACTTAGATTAACCCTTCCACCGCCAACACACTGCTCTTCAAATTCTACCCATGTCTCTGCCAATCCTGCCTGAGTCACTTCTACTCACCTTCTCAAACTCCTGCCTTCAAGACATCTCTTACCTTGTCCGCATTTCCCCTTACAAACTGTCTAGCGCTCAACAACTACTAAAACATTGCAAAGCATTATATTGCTATATAAAACATTATACACATATTCCTGTTGTTTCTTGAAACTGCTGTATTTGCTTTTCCTATTCAACTGTATGTAGCTGGTATTGAAAACATTTACAGTGTTATTGGGTGATAATATACCAATAAGTAAAGCTGAACCCCAGCCTTAATTAGTAATGCAAATTTCAGTAATACGTAATGCAAAGTTCAGTAGTAACGTAGAGCTCAGTAGTAATGCAGAGTTCATTAATAAGTAAGGCAGAGTTCAGTAGTAAACAATGCAGAGTTTAGTAGTAATGCAGAGTTCAGTAATAAGTATTGCAAAGTTCAGTAGTAAAGTACAGCTCAGTAGTAAGTAACACAAGTTCAGTAGTAATGCATATCAATGATGATATTTACCGATCACCGCTCTGCCACGCACAGAGCCGCTGTCATCCTGAAACTGACAGGATGACAGCGGCTCCGATCTCCTACCCGCTCGGCCATCCTCAAAGTGGGGGGGGCAGACGAGGGAGTGCTGTCATATCGGATGGCCAGCGGTGAGGGGGAGAGAAGCCGCGCCCCAGGACGAGCTGTGTTGGCCGCATGGCGCCCTTGTTGCCATGGCGCCCTGTGCGGCCGCACAGCTCGCACACCCCGAAGGCCTGCCATGAGTGCATGACCATAATAACAATGGGGATTGTGATTTTTATTGGGTCTTCGTTATAGACCTTAGCAGACTGCAACTTATTCTTGTCATTTGCAGCCAAACTGGCTGGGCAACAATCTGTGACAGAAGTCACTAGCCATTTATAAACAGCATGAGGTTGCTGTATTTTTGTACCTGTACAAAAATGAATTTGCAAAACATGTCCAAATCTAATGCAAAAGTAACTATCAACACTATCCAAATATTAAAATTGTCAAAATACATGACGAGAATTATAATGACAAGTAAAACAGAACACTGCACCACTGTAGGTCTGACAAGGCATCAACATTCAAATTAAATAAATGCAGCTAACGACACTTATATAAAGGTCATATCTGTCAACATATATTTCTTAAGTCTAATTTTTCTAGAATAAAAGAAGTGCATCTACAAAGTCTAAAATGATTGCCATTTTATTTAAGAGACAAAGAAAATATCCAGCACCAAAAGGTTTTACACAGTGGAAACATTTTATTGCAAAGTATAAAAGTGTTTGACAAACAGCAGACTATCTAGGTATTTCACCAATTTGTGATCTTAGGTAGACGTCTGAAAAACAACAGACTATCTAAGTATTTCACTTATTTGCACACATTATATCTGTTACACTCAAGGCTGCTGCCATCTACATTTCACAATATAGGTCATTTCAAGGACTTACAGTAGGGTTGCCACCTTTTCTTCAAGCGAAACCCGAACACTCAATCGACGCGTGGACATTTTTTTGGGAGAATGAGTCGCGGCTTATTCATATATACAAATTGCCGCCAATTCGTATGTAAATATCACAGTTGAGACTATTTTCAGTGGGGGGCCAGTAGCCCCTATCTTCATTTTGGTTGCCCCTGTCTGCCTGACATCTTGTGTCCAGGTTTCTGCTGCCATGAAACCTGGACACAGCATTCAAAACCCGAACTGTCCGGGTGAATCCTGGACAGGTGGCAACCCTAACTTACAGGGCTATTCACAAAAGGGTGAAGAGTTAGGAGATGGCAAGGGAAGTGAACAATCTAGGACAAAATAGCTGATTTGGAAAAATTCTCCAATTCAGCTCACTTTCTGGTTCAGCTATGCTGTCCTAGATTGCTTCTGCCTTCTCCAAACCCTTCACCCTTTTGTGAATAACCCTGTTAGTCTAGCGGCTTGAGCAAAAACAGATAATGTATGTTTTCACTTAAAAATGTTGGCTGTAGATTCTGAAAACAAAATATCAACTGTAAGATATCTTAAGGCTAACAGTCTAACTCCAGACTACAGGGATTTTAGTAGGGTCTTGGTGCAACCTTGGGCACCTATATTAAAATATTGTGTGACTTGTAGCATACCATGAACTGAGGGTGAAGCATTTTTTGTTCCCCTTTTAATGCCTTTTTTCTCCTTCTTTCTCTTTATTGGTCTCCCTCACTTCAGTTTCTTCGCTCTTTTCTGATGTATTACCTCAGAACCTGTGTATGGTATTTTGGGGCATTTTACAGGTAGTTTGGACCCCTGTCAAGTGCTCTGTAAGAATCAGGTCTAGAAATCTTATAAACTGACATTTGACTGTGGCTGCCCATTGATTTTTATGGCTTCTTTTAGTGAGCCCTCTCACTGGCAAAGTTGTTGAGTTATGATTACAACGCTACCCAAAAGTTACACTGCATGGCTGTCCTTCATCCAGCACAATATCATCTAGGCTTTTGAATGGAGCTATTAAACAGGAACTGAACTATGCACTCTGTCTGGCTTTTTTGTGGGCACGGCTTCCAATAGACTAATCGTTAGTATTGCTGATGGTGTCCCTGCAGCTTATCTTTGCCCCATGACTTACCCAACTCTATTATGCACTGTGTCTTGATGGAGACAGGGTTTTGCTTCATCATGTTAGATCCTCTAGCAAGGAGCACAGTCATCAGCACACTGGTGAAATCACAAAATCTCACTTTAAATCTCCTAAGACTTGAAGTCAGAGATGCAGTGCTTAAGACCTCGCACTATAGATATTATTATACAGGATTTAAATGGCACCAACAGTTTGCGCAGCACTTTACAATATACAACTTGAAGCTGTATTTAACATAAAAAATGTAATACATAAAAAATGTAAAAAATATAGCTATAATAAAACCACATTATATACATACGTATATGCCTGATCTGTTCACATCACTTTACATTTTCTTCAGCATTTATATTCTAATAATTTGGAACATTAATCATTACAAGTAAAACATTTGTGGAAAGCATTTAACACAGGCACAAGACTATTTATGTTAACCTTTGTTATATAACATCTTTAAATAATGTCTCTGAGATTTTCACAGTAAATCATCCTTGTGTTTACTTGGCATTGTTGGCAGGTTATCAAATGCAAGGCAGCAGTAGCCTGGGAGGCTGGCAAGCCCTTTAGTATTGAGGAAATAGAAGTTGCTCCTCCAAAGGATCATGAAGTTCGGATAAAGGTAACATTTATTTTTGTTTTTCCAATGTCTGCACAACTGAGCATTATAAGTTATCTAATGCAATCAATCCTGTGTTTAAACTAAAGCCCTTAGCAGCCCCAGCAGAACCAAAAGATAGTAAGAGTAACTGTATATAAAAACTATAAAAACAAAAGCTATATTTTTATAGACAGTGCTCAGCATAAATGAGTACAACCCAACAGATTTCTGAGAAAACCTTTAATTATCCTTTGTCACAAGGCCCCGAGAAAGCAAATCATTTCTTTACACAAGAAAGGTGAAGGCTACAAGAAGATCAGCAAAGCTTTACATATCAGTCAGAATACTGTAGCAAACGTGATATACAAATGTAACAAAGATGGAAACCATCTCACAGAGACGTCCAGGCCGTCCATGGAAGTCAAAATCGCCATGCAAGTTCACTGCAGTTAGCTAAAGAAGTAGAAAGACAAACTGGGTGATTGTTTCCTGTGACACAATACGGTGTACACTGCAGAGGAATGGCATGCATGGTCCACGAAGAAAGCCCATGCACAAAAAAGCACGCCTACAATTTGCCAGGGCCCATGCTGCCAAAGAAGAAGACTACTGGGACTCTGTACTCTGGAGTGATGAGACCAAGATCAATGTTTTTGGAACTAATGGCTTCAAAACTGTATGGCGTCGCAAGGGTGAGGCGTACAAAGAAAAATGCATGGTGCCTACAGTGAAACATGGTCTTGGCAGTGTCCTTCAGTGGGGCTGCATGAGTACTTTTGGTGTCAGGGAGCTGCATTTCATTGATGGTATCATGAATTCATAGATGTACTGCTCTATATTGAAAGAGAAGATGCTACCATCACTCAGTGCCCTTGGTCGTCGTGCACTTTTCCAGCATGACAATGATCCAAAACACACATCTAAGGCAACTCTTTCTGAAGAAGAACAGGGTGAAAGTGATTCAGTGGACAAGTATGTCTCCTGATCTGAGCCCAATCGAACATATATAGGGAATTCTGAAGAGACAAGTTGAGCATCACTCTCCATCCAGCATCCAGGCTCTAAAAGAGGTCATTCTTGAAGAATGGAAAAATATAGCTGTTGCAATATGTCGTCAACTTTTTCATTCTATGCCTAGAAGACTTGCTGCTGTCCTTACAAATCATGGAGGTCACACAAAATACTAGATGTAGTAGTTTTTGTTGTGGGGTGTATTCATTTTTGCTTCACCTAATATGAGTAAAACTGAAGATTCTGTAAACAAAGTTACATTATTACCGTACTTTCATGTAATGAGCTAAACAAATGTTCTTTAAAACTCGGTTTTCTAAAAAGTTTGGAAATTGGTCTTGTGTTCACTGAGATACTGATTAAAATCTTACTGTTCAAAGGGGTGTACTTATTTAT